ACCTCAACTAATTTGGCCGGCAGACCTTGCTGTTGTTAAAGCAGGCAAAAAAGCGAGGAAGATGGCGGAGACCACTGATGTGAGCGGAGCGAAGCGATTATTGTTTTACATGTTTCGACTGTTAGGCAAGCTCGTCGTCAGAAGGTAGAAGTAGTGATCAAGTGAATGAAGGTTGTTACGCCTCTATTGACCTCACACTCCACGATGAGCATCAGAACCCTTTGAGGCTGTTACTGTTGATAGTGTCGAGGCCCACGCAGCCTCTAGATCTCATACTACACACACCGTAAGAGCACACTGCTGATGGGGACTCCTTGCAGGGCTGCTTGCGAGTTGCTGTGGTAGGTATTGGCTTATGTCGACAGCACCTCAGCCGTATCTGCGTTATGCGTATGAGGAGAAGACTGATGATGGTGAGCAGCCAGATGAGGCGTTTGAGGCTCCTAGATGGATTGCCCATTGGGGGGCTCGACCCTCGTCGAAGGACCCTGAGGCTGCCAAGGCTGGTGTGATACTCCCTCTAGACTGCTACGGGACTAAACTGGCAGCATATCTCAATAACACTTGTAGTCGGTAAGTATGTCGCTTTGCAAGAAGGAGGGAAAACATGCACATAGTCAAGTGTTGTTGAAAACATGAGGAAATATTGATGGAATTTTCGGAATTTTTTGTTGGTTTCTGGACACTTTTACCGCAATGTATGTGTAAACTTCCATGAGGGGAAATCGCTGACCGCAGCTGAGGAGAGCGAGCATATATTCCTCCGAAACCTATCGAACTAACGAGTTTATGTTACGCTGTCGAATGTAAGGTGTAACGTTGCAACTGGTATCGTCACCGCATGCAATCGAGTGAAAATTTATGATAGTCCTGGTGAAATTTCGTCTCGTGACGTTCCCTCCTTCAGCGAGAGATGCTGATCAGTCGGGCTGGTCTACTTGATAAATGCATGATGTGGTTTCCGTCATGTATTAGGCCTTTCTCTATTGATACTGTCGGCTTCACGAGTGCCATAGCAGTCGAGAATGGCAGCTACGGTCGTCGAGGGTTTGGACATGGAGGGCAGCAGCCTGCTGCCGCTGGTGGTCGCCTGCCGTTGATGGAGGGAGGGGAGATAATGGCTTCTGGGGAGGACCCGAATGCCCCTCGAAAGCGGCAAGAGCTGGGGGTCCGGGTGGTGACCTCGGGTGATGTGAGGTAAGTTATCGAGCCTGTTGTTGATAGTGTCTATGGTCTTGGCAGGGATCTCTCGGTACGGTGTGTCCATGTGGCTCCACGATATGTGGTGGTCAACTCTATGACGGACCGGTCGATACTAGTGAAGCAAGCGGTAAGGGTGGCTAGGGCTCTGGCATTAGCCTAAACTGGATATAGTTGATGTTGCATAGACCTAGGTCGCCTGGAATGTGGATATTTCGGATCATCTGAAT